TTTCAGAATACTCTTTGATTGTAGGTGAACTATAAATCCCAGCAACTACAACTCCCAAATGACAACATCAATCCCTCCCCCAACCCCACCAGTATTCAAATTCGGACGTATTGGTTATTTGTGCCAAATTTGGTCCAGTGAATGAAAATACATCCTGCATATCAGATATTTACATTATGATTCATAACAGTATTTATTAATTTACAACATTTCTATCCCGCCTTTTTCCACCCCGCAGAGGACTCAAGACGACTTATGCTTAGGCAACTATTTGATGCCTTCAAAAGCTTGAGATACAGCGGTATATAAGCAAAGTAAATAAATAAATAAATAAATAAATGTTCAGTTAAAATAAACATTTTTTTAACCTGTAGCAAAATTACAGTTACGAAGCAGCAACGAAAATAATTTTATGGTTGGGGATCACCACAACATGAGGATCTGTATTAAGGAGTCACGGCATTAGGACATTACCTATTAATTATTTATTACTTATTAAGGACATCACGACATTACCCTTCCAGCCCTAACTTCTATTGGTTTTTGGACTTTCCCTTAGCCCTATCCAGAAACTATTGCACGAACTCTTAGTCCTCTGAGATTAGTATTTTTACTGTTCAGCCTAGGGATTGCTTTTATGATACTGTGTTGTGTTAATGTGATGTGTTTTATTTTATTTCTGAAATTTTGACATTGTTTTTGATTTTACTTACTGCACTGTGTTTTAATCTGTGTTTTTTCAGGCTTGTCCCTTTGTAAGCCGCCCCGAGTTCTTTCGGGGAAATGGAGGCTGGGTATTAAAATAAAGTTGTTGTTGTTATTTTTGGAAAGTTGACAACCACTGCTCTTGGAGATATTAATAGAAAAACTTGAGCAAAATGTTCTATAGCAAGATATCCCACTTGCAAAAACAATGTTGTGGCAGTTTAATAAACGTTGTCCATATATTTTATGATAGAACCAATTAGGAAATGACATTTAAAACCCAGGAACATAAAACATATTAATAATAACACTGTGTGTGTGTGGGGGGGGGGGGAGTTCCACCTTGTCTCCTGCATATGTCATCAGTTGGGGACCTGTCCCCCCAGCACCAACTGCCGCTCTGGGCCAGAGTGAAGAGAGAGGGGGCCAGGAGACAGTTCCACCTTGTCTCCTGCATATGTCATCAGTTGGGGACCCGTCCCCCCAGCACCAACTGCCGCTCTGGGCCAGAGTGAAGAGAGAGGGTGCCAGGGGACAGTTCCATCTTGTCTCCTGTGCTATGCTAATAATATAAAATATAATAATAATATATAATTAAATATTTCATATTACATGTAATATTAGTAGTAATATTATAATATAATGGTATAGTACAATATAGTAGTATATAATACTGATATTGTACTATGCTGATAATATAATGTATTGTATGTATATATATCTTGTAAGGCGCTCTGAGAGAAGGGCGGCCTAGAAATGTCGCAAATAAATCAATAACAGTAGCCGGGTGAGGCTCTGAGGACAGAAGCCCGACTAGGCCACGAAGAGAGGCCCTCGCTCACCCAGGTAGTACTTCCGGCAAAGGCTGAGCTTCTCCTCGTTGGAAACTCGCTCCAAGTTCATGGCGCCGCCCGCTGCCTCTCCCCGGAGCCGGTCTTGAGGGGGGAAGGAGCCTCGAACTCGGCAGCTCGGGCGAGAAAGCGTGAAGGCCGCGGAAAAGCAGAGTGGGAGCCGAGCTCGAAGCCTCCTTCCGCACAAAGGAAGCAAAAGCGGCTGTTCACCAGTCACCAACACTGGACCCTCTGACCGGCCACTTCCTCAGTTTGAGGCACTTCCGGTCGCAAGGCACTCTGGGATTTGGGAGTAAGTCGTGCGACAGGGCGTGGCTACGGACCATAGAGTTAGGAAAAATTAGAGAGCTACACCAGGCATGGGCAAACTTGGGCCCTCCCTCCAGGTGTTTTGGACTTCAACTCCCACAATTTGGTCCAAAACACCTGGAGGGAGGGCCCAAGTTTGCCCATGCCTGATATAGAAAGATCTGCATAAGCTTATAAATCTTGGCTTCTTGGGATAGTTTGAAAAGTTTGGCTCAATTCTGTCGTTAGTGGGATTCAGAATACTCTTTGATTGTAGGTGAACTATTATTATTATTATTATTATTAAACTTTATTTGTACCCCGCTAGCATCTCCCGAAGGACTCGATGCGGCTTACAAAGGCCAAGGCCTCAACACACAACATAACAATACAAAACCCAAAGCAAATTAAAAACAATTAAAGCAATATAACAACAAGCAATAAGCAATACACTAAGACACAATTAAACTGGGCCTAACTATAAATATAACTATATAATATATAATATTTATAATATATATTTATATATAATATAAATATAACTAACTAACTATAAACCTTAACTATAAATCCCAGCAACTACAACTTCCAAATGTCAAGGTCTATTTTCCCCAAACTCTACCAGTGTTCACATTTGGGCATATTGAGGATTCCTGCCAAATTTGGTCCAGATCCATCATTGTTTGAGTCGCTGGAACACCTCAGCAAGCAAGAGTCCAAAAGTGGCAGGCTCAAACCCAGCACCTCAACCAATGGTTGATACCAAATGAGAGACTCCCTCCTGGGTACACAGAGGACTGGGCGACCTGGAAGGCACTGAACAGACTGCGCTCTGGCACCACAAGATGCAGAGCCAACCTTCAGAAATGGGGCTACAAAGTGGAATCCTCGACATGCAAGTGTAGAGAAGAGCAAACCACTGACCACTTGCTGCAATGCAACCTGAGCCCTGCCACATGCACAATGGAGGACCTTCTTGCAGCAACACCAGAAGCACTCCAAGTGGCCAGATACTGGTCAAAGGACATTTAACCAACTACCAAACTCACAAGTTTTGTATTTTGTCTGTTTGTTTGCTTTGTTCTGTTAGAAATGTAATATAATGGACTGGTTGCTCTGACACGACAAATAAATAAATACATTGTTTGAGTCTACAGTGCTCTCTGGATGTAGGTGAACTATAACTCCAAAACTCAAGGTCAATGCTCATCAAACCATTCCAGTATTTTCTGTTGGTCATGGTAGTTCTGTGTGCCAAGTTTGGTTCAATCCCATCATTGATGGAGTTCAAAATGCTCTTTGATTGTAGGCGAACTATAAATCCCAGCAACTACAACTCCCAAATGACAAGATCAATCCCTCCCCCAGTCCCATCGGGTTGTGCCAAATTTGGGCCAGAGAATGAAAATACATCCTGCATATCAGATATTTTCATTACGATTCATAACAGTGCCAAAATTACCATTATGAAGTAGCAACAAAAATAATGTTATGGTTGGGGGTCACCACAACATGAGGAACTGTATTAAGCGGTCATGGCATTAGGAAGGTTGAGAAACACCGCTGAAATGGAAGGCTAGGATTATTTGGAAGACTAGAAAGGAGCAAATTGTCATTGTGTTTTCTAAAAAATGATCAGAACTTAGCGGGATTTTTAATTTTCTGGTTTTCTTTTTGCGACCCAGATGGCCTTGAAAGAAGAGCTGAAACACATCTTTAAAAGTACATAATCAACTTGGTACAAGGAGCCCCTGGTAGCACAATGGGTTAAATGGCAGGACTGCTGACCAAAAGGTTGGCGGTTCGAATCTGGGGAGCGGGGTGAGCTCCTGTCTGTCAGCTCCAGCTTCTCATGCAGTGACATGAGAAGCCTCCCAAAGGATGGTAAAATATCCAGGCATCCCTGAGCAATGTCCTTGCAGACAGCCAATTCTCTCACACCAGAAGCAACTTGCAGTTTCTCAAGTTGCTTCTGACATGGAAAAAGAAAAAAAACCTCAGGACAAGGAAGAACATAACCATGGCATGCTGGACACAAGCACCTCTAAATCAAAAAACAAAACCATTCCATAAGTAAACGTTTTGGTGAGTAAGTATAGCTCAAGGAGCCACTTTTAATGTCACCTGCAGTCCCAGCACTAATTTATTCCTCAAGACAAATGGCAATGGAAAGGTTTTGCAATTGTGGATTGTTGGCTTTCTCAGAATGCAGATCTACATCAAGAATATTGAATTCAGTTTGGGTCCCCAAGATGTTAAACAGTTCCGAAAAGCCCCTACCACCATGGTCCCATGACTAGGCTTCTGAGATTTTTAGCATTATAACATCAAGGACCTGTTTTGGAATTACAGGCAGGTTTTATTAAAGTTAAAGGTGTCCCCTGATAATACGCCTAGTCATGTCAACAAGCTGGAATGTGTCCAGAGAAGGGCAACTAAAAAGATTAAGGGTCTGGAGAACAAGCCCTATGAAGAGAGGCTTAAAGAGCTGCGCATGTTTAGCCTGCAGAAGAGAAGGCTGAGAGGAGACATGATGAGGGCCATGTATCAATATGTGAGGGGAAGTCATAGGGAGGAGGGAGCAAGCATGTTTTCTGCTGCCCTGGAGACTAGGACGTGGAGCAATGGCCTCAAACCACAGGAAAGGAGATTCCACCTGAATATTAGAAATAACTTTCTAAAGGTTAGAGCTGTTCAGCAGTGAAACTCTCTGTCCCAGAATGTGGTGGAGGCTCCCTCTCTGGAGGCTCTTAAGCAGAGGCTGGATGGCCATCTGTCGGGGTGCTTTGAATGCTTCTTGGCAGGGAATTGGACTGGATGGCCCACGGGGTTTTTGATTCTATTTGGCCACAATGTCATACAAAAATTCAGGGATATGCAACATGGGAACTGTTAGCCATACTGATGTTTGGGATTTCCATACCCAGTAACCCTTGCTGATTTCCATGCTTAGGTTTCTAGAACTTGAAGATTCATAGAGACAGAGTCCCAATCACTAAAGTATGCCTTTTTGTGCCTTTAATTTCAATATCACAGGCTGCCCACTTTCCACCCCCCATCTCCAAATCATTGTTTCTAGACTAACACACACCACCTTGATAAAAAAAAATTGCCTTCAGATGAAGCATGTAGACCAATGGAAACCACATGGCAAACTCGTGTCAAAATTGCATTTTATTTAAAATTATACCAACAAGAATCCAACCCTTTACCATCTGAGTTGACTGAGCATCTTAAATAAAAAAGTGCATAGAAAATAAACAGGTTTAGAAATTTGTACAAATATTTACATCCTCCTGGGTTTGATGTTTTTTTTTAAACAGAGAACCTAAAGCAGGGGGAAAGGGAATCACAAAAATCTTAAGTACAAAATTAAAGAAAAGGACGTTCTTGCCCCACAAATGAGGAGAGGGAGGGAGACTATTAGGATTTTAAAGCAGATGGGCACAAATAAGGGATCACCCATCCCCCATTTGCCCCATTATCTCTGCTTATCATAATTTCAAGCCATGAACTCAAAAACGGCGAGGCCACTGCCAAGAGCCCCTCCCCTTCTCACAGAAAAGGGGTATCCCAGTCGTTCCTTGGAGATGAGTCACTCTCATCCCACAACTACGTTCAGGGGATGAGACAGTCTTGCAGGAACCTGCTTGGAAAGGAATGGCGAGGCTAAACTCCCTCCATGCCATTCGGTTTGCCTCCTATTTCCAGGGCTGGGTGGGGACAGGATACACATCTGAGAAGTCAGGACAGGGAAGAGTCTTCTAATTGAGGAAGCGGCGGCAACGCTTGGCTCCACAGTTGCAAGGCAGCTTGCTCCCAGCATCTTCAATGGGGAATTTGTAGTCATAGGTCAGTTCCTCTCCCCGGAAGATCCGCCGCAGGGCAAAGATCACAATGTGTTTCTGACCCTCAACATGGATGACACGCGAGTAACAGTTGGGCTCACAGGAGTGGTTGATGAAGCGGGCAGCGTTGCCATGCATTGTAGCATCCACCACATCAAAATCATCAATGCGGAACATGTAGCATCCAATGCCCTGCAAGCACAAGGAGATTAAAAAATAAAACTATTTAGGGATCTCAGACAGGGCTTTGAATATGTACTTTTAAAAAACTACAACTCTTTTTTGCAATACAAAAAAGTAATTTTCCCAAGCTTTGTCAGCTCTTTCCCCACCAACTTCTGCAAGTCCTGATCCCACTTCCCATTATATGTATGGCTCTGTCCTTCCTTGACCATCACTACCTTGCTGTCGTAGTATTTTTCACGCTTGTCTGTAAGTACTGAGCGGATAACAATGCCTGAGTACTCTATAACCATCTCGCCTGCATCAATGTTGCGTTTGCAGAAGAGACCTCGACCATGTATGGCTGACCTGGAGTGGAGGAAATGTCACAAAAACTAGACTTGAGCAAGAGAATTGACATAGCAAGCTAAAGGCAAACTGGAGAGTAAAGGTGCATTAAATAACAATGCTACATAAGGAATTAGCAAGCTCTGGGCTGTGGTTCAAGGGCCAAGACACACAGTGGCTGTCCTGGGTTCATTACCTGTATACACCCACAGCTTCCTTTGAGGTCTTCTTCAGATGTCGAAACCGCATTGCCATGGGAAGCTCTAGGCTGGTGGCTCGCCTAAGAACAGGCCATCAACACAAATCTCAATATTTCAACTCAGTAAATGAACACTAAATTACTATGGACATGAGGTGGCCCTTTGGCTATGGAACTCCCTCTCCTGTGATATTAGATCTGCCCCCTCCCTTCTGACTTTCAGAAAGAGTGAAAACGTGGATCTGGGATCAAGCCTTTGGAGAAGAACCATAGTGAAATAGATGGACTGGAGTAATGTGCAATGACTACCGGAATGACCTGGATTATGTTTGCCGATAGCATGGTTTTATAGTGATTGTAATGTTTTTAAAATGTTTTAATGTATTTCAATTTTGATCTTAATTTAAATGTTTATTTTGATTGTATGTTGTTGTTAAGGTATTGAATTGTTTCCTATCTGTAAGCCAACTTGAGTCCCCTTTGAGGTCGAGAAAGGCGGGATATAAATATAGTAATTCAGTAAGTAAGTACATAAATAAGGCCTCCAAATAAGGGGTTGGACTGGATTCTGAGGAACCTTTTATATGCCCTCAAATTGTGAAAGCAGTGTCCAGACCGTGTAGTCAGGCCAAAGCCAGTTTAGCTCCACTGGATGCTCATCCTTTCCTGGGTTGTCTTTTGTCACTGCGGCAGCTGTCCACAGAACTCTAGAGAAGGCTTAACTGTCGCCAAGCACAATCCCCCTCCTTTCCGCAGGTTGCATGGTGCTTTGGCAAAGGTGTTTGACCATGGTCAGGACTTCTCTGGAGCTCTGTGGTTGGTTACTGCAACTGGTTACTGCAGCAACAAAACGCAGCCTGGGTAAGTTCCATTCCCTTTTCTCTGCATTGTGGAGTGCAGGGAAAAGGGGATGGTGGCAGGGGCCTGTGTGGACAGTGAACCTATGCAGCTCAGCACACCCACTCTAAATGGTGGGGCTGTTTCAGGGAAATGTTGGAGCATTCCCTCACTTGGTAATGTGGAACAAACTGGCTTCACTGATTTCACTCTATATTTTGGACCAGAAGTCCCTAGACACAATCTGGACATCCAGGAGCAACTTCTGCTCCGATTTGGGGTTTCTGACCAGTATAGACAAGACCTAGATCTCAAGCCTGATTTGAGAAATAAACCTGGGAACAGGTTTTCTTAGAACTGGGACAGGAATTGACAAAGAATTTTGCCATAAAGTTTTTTTTAAAAGACTAATAATTAATGGGCAAAGTGAAAATATGAAATGTTTGTGTGGAGTTTGATTGAGGCTTGTATCAAAAAGGCAAGAGAAAGGGTAAAAATATATAAAACAAATAGCTGGATGCCCAACTGGATAATCTAGGTATGAAACAAAATCAGACTCTAAATGCCTGTGACTGCCACATAACTTGTTAAAGCAATTACAAGAAGTGAAGTGGGAAAAGCTCCGAGTCCAGACAGGTTATCTTGATCCACTATGAAGGAAGCCCTTTCCCCCTTTAACATGTGCATAGCTCACATCCCATGAACTTCAATGTATACTGCCCCCCCCCCCCAATACTTGTTTTTCTCATCCCATATATGAAGAGACACTAAGCCAAGATGGGCGATGCAAAGTTTTCCCCAACTCAAGAACAACAAAGGCCAGATATGTCCTCTCACCTGGTGGATTTGAGCTGCACTTCATCTTCCTCTTCATCATAGGGGCCTCCCTCAGGAAGAACACGATGTTGGGAGGCCAGGAAATTGAACATATCAAACGTGCATTTCCTAGAGAAGAAGAGTAGGCCAGTCCATATTAAAAGGACCCTGGATTTCTTGCCTATCGCTCCTTCAAACACCATATGAAACTTACAGAGGGAACTGCTTTGCCACGAACTCCATAAAGAGGGTCCTTTTTACTGCAAATGGTATCTATACCATGATGTATTTTGGGACTAAGGGTTCAGTATGACCCTTGTATCTATGGAGGTAACATTCTGTGACTTACTGTAAAAAAGAGAAGCCACGAATATATAGGAAACCCTATTAAAATGAATGCCCAAATGGAAGAATATCACGGAATCGTACTGGAGGATCTAGAAAATGTCTTAACAGGAGACCACTAGCACTTCCACGTTCTCCCATAGTATGACTCTATGTTCAACTTCTGGCAGAAGCATATCAAATAATTGCACTGCATGACCTTTTTTTGACATCAGAAAAGAGAAAGTGCAGGTTCAGAGGTCATATTTTCTACAGGCTAACCAGGAAGCCACATGGCTCTTAGGAAAACCATTATTATCTGTTTGTTTGTTTTTTCAGAAAAGGATCAATATTCCCACCTGGAGTAAACTTCAGCCCGGGCACAGCCATGTGGGTTGAGGGGCAGCTCCTCCTCCTCGTCTTCATGCTGGTGATAGCGGAATTTGTACTTGTGGCAAGCCTTGGCACCATACAGCTGTTCCACCAGGAAGATGACAGCATCATGGTGCATGCCCAGCATCCGCACACCATTCATTCCTGCCAGAAAAGCAGAGGTCTACAATTCACCCCAAGTCCAAGCTGATCTATCCTACAGGAGGGAGTTCAAAGCCCTGGAACACCATCCATAAATTCCCCTGAAGCAGCCATCTTGGCTATTTTTAGTGACAGGGATAATTCCCTTTCACTCCATCCCACTGTAGTCTGAAGCTGATAATGCCGCAGATCAGGGAGAATCCCATATAGATCCAGGCCCATGGGTGGTTCCAACTAGCCAGTTTGGGGTGGGGGAAGGTAATGTTGGGGGATTTAGTTCCCCTCCTACAAATGTGGACACTGTAAGGGCAAAACGTAAAGAATTCCCCTGACATTAAGTCTAGTTGTGTCCAACTCTGGGGGTTGGTGCTCATTTCTATTTCTAAGCCAAAGAGCTGGCATTGTCCGTAGACACCTCCAAGGTCATGTGGCTGGCATGACTGCATGGAGCACCGTCACCTTCCCACCAGAGTGATACCTATTGATCTACTCACATTGCATGTTTTCCAACTGCTAGGTTAGCAGAAGCTGGGGCTAACAGCAGGAGCTCACCCCACTCCCTGGATTTGAACCGCCAACCTTTCGGTCAGAAAGTTCAGCAGCTCAGTGGTTTAATCTGCTGTGCCACCAGGGGGCGCACTGTAAGTATAGGCATATTTTCTTCTTGTGCTTCTTGCCATCAATCAGGAAGTTGAAGGGTGGAAATATTGTTTTCTCAGTGCCAAGACAAGACAGAGAGAAATGAAAAATGGGCCAGAGGATACTGGGGAGAACTTCAGATCATTATCACACCTTGTACCATCCAACCTGCTAGTCTGGGCCTATGGGGTCATCTGGCTCCAACGGCTGAGACCACTCTCCAGCTCTACCTTTGATGCTGGCCTGGGAAACACTAGCCTGTCTCCAACCCAACTATTTCTCACCTGCAAAGGACAAATGCTTGAGCCGGGCATTAGTGCGGGCCTCCTGAACCTTCTCAATCACAGCTTTCCAGGCACCTGAATTAGACACACCAGAAGTTATATACCCTGAAATCAACTGAATTGTGCATCAAGTTATAAGGAGACACAGGGTGCTGTTCTCTAGAGAATCTTAAAAGATTTCCTGAATCAGGTGGCAGCCATCTATATCATTGGTATGTGTGGCACTCCTGTTGTAGCATCACAGCAGTTGCTTACAGTACCCCCCCCCCTCCGCCCCTTCTTAGCCATGTAGCCTCCTCCTCACCATCGATGGTAGCAGCCTGCACATTCAACCCATCCTCATTGGTGATCTCGAAACACAGGTGGGGCTGTGTTTTGCGAGGCATCTCATTCTCTTTGTCCTCCTGGTGCAGGTTGTCCTCATCAGAACTGGATAGTTCCCCTAGGGGCAAAAAAAGACAAGGATGGCCAAGTCTTTCAACTCTGCTATCTGGTCACAGTTAGTGTAAAGGGGCCTGGCTATCAGACTCTGGAAAATCGTGGAGTTAAAATCAAGCTCACAACAATAAACCACTGGTCTCCACAATCCTAAAAAGACAGTTCTAAAATTTCCCCACTCAAACCTCCAGTATATATCAGCCCCAACTCCCATCCGCCCCCTAGTGGCCAAACACTGTGGTCACAGTCTGTTAACTGCAGTTTCTCAATTTTCCTAATGCCACGACCCCTTAATACCGTTCCTAATGTTGTGGTGACCCCCCCCCCCAACCATAACATTATTTTCATTGCTACTCCATAACTGTAATTTTGCTACTGTTATGAATTGTAATGTAAATATCTGATATGTAGGATGTATTTTCATTCACTGGACCAAATTTGACACAAATACCCGATACGCCCAAATTTGAATACTGGTGAGGTTGGGGGGATTGATTTTGTCATTTGGGAGTTGTACTTGATGGGATTTATAGTTCACCTACAATCAAATAGCATTCTGAATACCACCAATGATGGAACTGAACCAATATTGGCACACAGATCTCCCATGACCAGCAGAAAATACTGGGAGGGTTTGGTGGGCATTGACCTTGAGTTTTGGAGTTGTACATCCAGAGAGCACTGTGGACTCAAACAATGATAGATCTAGACCAAACTTGGCACGAATACTCAATATGCCCAAATGTGAACACTGGTAGAGTTTGGGGAAAAGAGACCTTGACTTTGGGAATTGTAGTTGCTGGGATTTATAGCTAACCTACAATCAAAGAGCACTGAACTTGGCATACTACCTCATGGCCAACACTGAATACTGGTGGGGTTGGATGGGCTGTTTTTGAATTTTGGGAGTTGTAGTTCACCAACACCAAAAAGGAAGAGGACAGGAGGAGGAAGAGGACATCTTCAGTCTTCTCTGTCAAAAGGGTTCCTAAGACCATCAGAAACATATGTTTTCTGATGGTCTTTGGTGACCTCTCTGAAACCCCCTGGGCCCCCCCCCCCCCCCGGATCACGACTCCTAGGTTGAGAAACACTGTGATAGGGCATGTAGGTACTTTTTATCCTTGGATACATTATTAGCTTTTACTCGTGATATTGGGCCACAACTTCTAGCTAAACAATGACCATCCCATTCCAAATATGAAGAAGAATAAGCTGACATTCCTGTACCTGCATATCTATGCCATGCTGGTTCCAAGAGAAGGTCCTGGTTCTGCTCCGGGCTTCCAGGATGGGAGTTCAATGGCACCAGGGAAGGGCAATGCTCCACTGGGGAACTGCAGAGGCACAGAGGGAAGAGTTACAAGCCATACTAGGCTATTTATTAATTGGTATTTGTAAAGTTTTTGATATAGCAAAATTTGTTTAAGTGCTTCTCAAGAAATTTCACATTTCATATACAGAAAAACAAAGAAAATAAAAAAAGAAACAAAATAGTACTAATCAGAAATAGACTAGTTTTCATCATGAACAGCTTTGTTTTCACCAGGCACTTAAATAATCTCAGAAAGGAGCTCCTGAAGCCCCAACCTGACACTTACTGATCACTGCCGCTAACAACCCCTGCCTCTTCTTTGAGTGCATCCAGGTCTAGAACACCCTTCATTGTGGGAGTCTTCATCCGCACCCTCCCGATGCTGCAGACCAAAAGGTTCAAGTTAATGTGTGTATGCAAACAAATAAACAGGAGGATCCCAAAGGAATGGATCCCAAGCTGGTTTTTGAGAGAAGACAGCTGCTCCAGAAACTAATGAGGACACAGCCTGGTACAGTTGGTTTTTTGCCACGCAGGAGGCAATTGTTTATTTAGAGTTGAGCATAGTTTGCTGCACCTCCTCCTTCTGCACCCAATAAGTAGGTCTGATGGATTTGGTACAGTTTGAAATATCTTTTTTATCAAGTGGGATGAAAGATCTGTTTGGATGCACCACTCTATGTGAAAATCTAAATAATAATAATAATAATAATAATAATAATAATAATAATAATAATAAAAAACGTTATTTATATTCCGCTCTATCTCCCCTAGGACTCAGAGCTGATTCCAACTAACAAAAAGGCAACATTTAATGCCTCAATGACAATAAGTACAAATATAATAACCCAGAATAATTCCACATAAAAGACATCTTAAACATAACAACTAATAACACATAATTTATCAAAAATTATAACTAATATAAAACATGGACATAAAACATCTGACTTAATTCAAAATAATTATTTAATTTCCCAACTTGGCCCCTTGCAGATGTGATGAAATAGCAACTATAGCAATTAAAAAAAACATTAAAAATCCAGTAGCACTTTAGAGACAACTTGGGAAGAAAAAAAATTAAGGCACAAGGTTTCATGAGTACAGTCCACCTCATTAGATACAGTAAACCTTGTATGTGTACTGTATCCAGGAAAACAGCTAGAAATTTCTTAGTCTGAAATGTGCTACTGTATTCCTTTATGATCAAACAGACTAGCACAGCTATCACTTTGGAAACAGCTATAGTGGAAGATGCTCTCAGATGGTGTTCTTTCTCCTGCTCTGTATGGATGAAGCACCACTGGAGCTGAAGATCTAACTACATGTTTTAGCACAATGAGGCCTGCGGAGGTCCATCACTTCCTCCAAGAGGCTCCAAACCATTGTACAATTTTCTTTCTGGAAAGTCCATATAAAGCAAGCTTTGAAGTTAGTCCTGAAAATAAATCCTATGCTGGCAGTCCCATATGTCTTCTATAAAATATCATCAGCTCTTCTATGAAACATCACCAACACCATTGAACAACTCAAGAGCTGCTGACCAGTGGAACTCTCTGCCTCAAGAGTGTGGTTGAAGCTCCTTCTTTGGAAGCTTTTAAACAGGGGCTGGGTGGCCAACTCTTGTGTGTTCTTTGTGCTTTTCCTGCATGGCACGGGTTGGACTACATGGCCCTTGTGGTCTCTTCCAACTCTGTGATTCTTGCTTCTTTGTGCAATTATTAAAATATCCAAATTATTACTAGAACAGGGGTTCTCAAACTAAGGCCTGGGGGCCGGATACGGCCCTCCAAGGTCATTTACCTGGCCCTCGCTCAGTGTCAACCTAACTCTGAAATGACTTGAAAGCACACAACAACAACAATCCTATCTCATCAGCCAAAAGCAGGCCCACACTTCCCACTAAAATACTAATAAGTTTATATTTGTTAAAATTGTTCTTCATTTTAATTATTGTATTGTTTTAAAGTGTTTTTTCACTACAAATAAGATATGTGCAGTGTGCATAGGAATTCATTCATATTTTATTTTCAAATTATAATCCGGCCCTCCAACAGATTGAGGAACTGTGACCTGGCCCTCTGTTTAAAAAGTTTGAGGACCCCTGCACTAGGATTTACCTACACAATTTCCACATTAATCAAAGTGGAAATAGAAACACCAAAAAAGGGGCAGCGCTTTGGCAGGAATGCTGCATGTAAATATGCTATATGCTTACTGTATGGGAGTGGCTACTGCTGAACTGAAACATCGCTAACATAGTATACGTTTACTTATTTCACCCCAAATTGTAGATTGTAGGACAAAAACCCAGGGTGGCACAGCGGGTAAAACTGCTGAGCAGCTGACCAAAAGGTCAGCTGTTTGAATCCAGGGAGTAGGGTGAGCTCCCACTGTTAGGCCCAGCTTTTGTCAACCTAGCAGTTCAAAAACATGCAAGTGTGAGTAGATCAATAGGTATCACTTCTAACAGGGAAGCTAACAGCACTCCATGCAGTCATGCTGGCCGCATGACCTTGGAGGTGTCTACGGACAATGTCGGCTCTTTAGCCTAGAAATGGAGATGAGCACAAATCCCCAGAGTTGGACACGACTAGACTTAATGTCAGGGCAACCTTTGCCTTTAGGCCATAATCCACACTAGGATTTGATGAAGGAATCAAGAAGCAAGAATAGTCTTTAATGGACTGCTGTCCAGACCTTGCTTGAATGTCTCCCTAATTATGAAGAATGCCCACACCTCCCTTAAACTCCACTTAAAAGGTCTTAGCTACCTATACCCTGACCTCTCCCAGAAAACTAAGCAGCTGAGGGAGGAAAGGAAAGAGCCTGAGACTGTGGCAAACAGCAAATGTGACTCTCATAAAATCTCATGCAGATGTGGGGATTTGGCAGCAATGTTAGGACAATTCCCTCAGCTTTCAGTTGCACTCATTTATTGCCATCTTCCACACAACCATCTTCAAGACCGATTTAAGAGTTAAATATCTAACCACTATAAAGTAATTTTAAAACAAAACCAGTTTGCTTTTGCTTTTTAAAGAAAACTTCTGTATTATGAAATTGGGGAGGGGGCAACTGGTGATTTCCTTACCCGGAGCCTACAGTACTGCCAGAAATGCAGTTATTAGTCAAGTGATCAGGAGTTGCTGAGGGTGACATGGGCAATGGCTCCTCTTCGTTGACTCCGTCCATCTTCACCTTCTTGACAGGAACATTTCCAACAAAGGTGGAGACCCTCTTGACCCGGATGGCCGGGCGAGGGCCCGGCAAAGACACCAAACCAGGAATGCTCAGCACACCGGAATTCATAGTCACAGGCTGGAGGAGACAGGTTTGCTGGAGCCCAAGGGAGGGAGTAACCAGAGCTGGGGCGCTCAGTGCCAACTGCCCTCCACCAATAGCCTGAGGGGTAGTGCCCACCACATTCACCATGGGGACCATGCTGATCACTGGGCCTCGAATAGTCCAAGTAGGCAAAGGGTTTGGATTCAGGCCCAAAGGTGCCCGTAAAATGACTGTGCCAAGGCTGGGAGCAGGGCTGGGTGCGGGCAGTGGTGCTGGTGCGGAGTTTGGTTTTGCGTCACAGCTGGAGGCCTGCTCCCTATCTTGAGAGTTCAGGATGTCTTCTTCACCCTGCACTTTGACACACACCTGTCCCAGCTTATTCACAAGAATGATTTTGGAGCCAGGCTTTTGCCCCTCGGATCCCAGCATTCTTACCTCAGGGGTGCCCAGCACCTGAGCACAACTAAGGGTTAGGGTTGGGGTCAAATCTGGGGCAGGGTTGGGGTGGACTGATTCAGTGCCATTGAAGCTAGTGGAGGTAGCAGGTGCTGGAGGCATCGGCATCGGATTGAGGCAGGAAGGCAGTGGGGCTTTGCTCTCGGGAGTATCCATGTTCTTGAGCACAAAGTCCACAATGTCAGAAGGCAAGTCCTCGGGAGCAGGAGCGGGTCCAGCCAGCTCTCGCTCCACCCTTGGCTCAGCCTGCTTGCCCTTGGCAGATGGGTGCCCCCCACCTGAATCCGCTTCACTGTCGGTACCATCGTCTATCCCATCCAGCTGGTTAATGTGAGGCAAGGGGAGGTCCAAAGGGTATGGCGGAAGGGGCGACTCTCGTGTCACCACTGTGCGCGGGAAGCGAAAGTAGCGGCTCTCCTCTCCTTCCTCCTCACTCTCGGCATCACCTAACCCATCCAACTGGGGCAGGCCCAGCCCAGGAGAGGGGGGGCACATCCGTGGCACTCCCAGCTCCTCTTCCTGGAATGGCTCATCCAGGAGGCTGTCGTCAAATTCCAGGTCAGAGACGTTGAGCTCAAAAGCCAGCTCTGGTGGCACAGGTGGGGGTGAGGGAGGGGGTGAGGTAAGCGAGGGCGGCTGCCCATCAGAGGTAGAATTTTGCCTGAATCCGTTCCCAGTTGTGGGGCTGTCTGGGAGGGGAGGCATTGCCCTGAGAGAGGTGCTGGGGGGACTAGTCCTGTTAGCCATGGCTGGAGGTGGAAATGAGGACCGGTGGGTACGGTGGGCACTGCTTGGGGACAGGGGGCTGAGGCGCTGAGTGCGGCGCGGAGGAGGGAAGTCTGGATCGCCCACAGTCAAGATATGATGAGACATGGAAGATGCACTCCCTGCAGAAACAGAAGGGAAGAAAATAAAATGGTGCATTGAGAGACTGACTGGCTGTAACAAATTGCAGTGGCTACGCAAGTCATGAAAGCAGGCATCTTGTTGGGGATGCACTGCCATACTGAAGGGGATTGCTATGAACTATATGAGTCTAAGGCCTGAGTTTAATTTCACAGAGGTTACTGGGAGCCACTGGTGCTTGGGACCAGAGACAAAAGGATAGGAGAAAAAAATAGTACAGTAGAGTCTTGCTTATCCAACCTTTGCTCATCCAATGTTCTGTATTATCCAACGCAGTCTGCCTCCCGCACGGATCCACAGCTGTTTCAATAAATTGCGATATTTTGGTGCTAAATTAGTTAATACAGTAATTGCTGCATAACATTACCATGTATTGAACTGCTTTTTCTGTCGATTTGTTATAAAACATGATGCTTTGGTGCTTAATTTGTAAAATCACAACGTAATTTGATGTTTAATAGGCTTTTCCTTAATCCCTCCTTATTATCCAACATTTTCACTTATCTAACGTTCTGCCGGCTCATTTATGTTGGAAAAGCGAGACTCTACAGTAATATCATTTAGCTTAAAGATGTTATTACATTTTTATCTTTGTTTTTGTATTCTCAGTCTTCACATTTAGCAACTTATTAGTGTAACACAAGCCAACAAGTATTTTTCATCAGATATAATTTTAGGTCATTCTTATAGTTTTTTGCGCTGAATTCAGATCTGTGTTTATTTTTTCTCTATCACATATAGTTTTTGCGATGAGGCTAATTGAACAATTAATGCATTTATGCACTGCTATCAATTAGATTCTATTGATACCAATGCATAAGTGCATTAATATTTGATTAGCCACATCATAAAAACTGCACATGATAGAGAAAAAATAAACACAGATCTGAATTCAGCGCAAAAAAACTCTAAAGGAATGACCTAAAATTATATCTGATGAAAAATACTTGTTGGCTTGCGTTATCTGTCGAATTGTATTTTGACTTTTTTATCATCTGTTTTTAGGTCTATCTTGTTTCCATTTCGCTGTAACCTGCCTTGGGTCCCATTCTGGAAGAAAAATACAAGAGAAATTCCAAAACATAATATATAATTAAGCCTGATTAAAGGAATTTTTAGGCTTTGAGTGGGAAAAAATTAATTCAGCAGGTGGGATGCCAAGCAAGAACAATGAAATCCAAGGGATGAGATAAGCCCAAAGATTCCCCACCTTTCTTCTACAAAAAGCATCCATTTAAAATACACACCAGGGGATGGCAGTGGACGGGATGACACGCCGCTGATGGGCCTCCGAGTAGGGGAGTAGTTGGGCACTTTGATGCGAGCTCCGGTAAGAGATTTAGGCTTGGTGACAGCAGCCTCTGGGTGCGGCAGAGACCCTGGGTTCTGTATAGGAGAGTGATGCTCCGGGGGAGGCATGGAAGTGGACACATCCTTAAGGTGCTTTTCTTCAATGCTTGAATCTGGAAATGACAGCATGAACATCAGAGACAGAACAAAAATAGTGGAAAGAGCCTGTGGCCCTTCTTCTGGGTTTGGGGCAGAAAACAAAGGAATATTTTTGTCTGTCTATTCCCATCCCTCAGGCCCCCTCAGGGCGCAGTGGGTTATTAATTTATTTGTTTGTTTACTATATTTGCATACTGCACCCTCAGCCCACAGGCGACTCAGGGCAGTTAACAAAGGCAGCAATTCAATGTCAATTACAGTATAAAACATTTAAAAGCATTGACATAAAA